GATGACTCCTCCAGCGCGTTCACCACCTGCTCCAGGATGTCGGGGCAGTGATCCGCGATCTGCTGAAGAATTGCATTGGCAAACTCCTGCAGCTCTGCATTGTCCCGTTCGCCCCTCTGCAACTCGCTCTGCAGCTGAAAGGGAAAGGAGAGGCACGGTTCAGATAAAACCATCCTGTTCGCACCGAGTTAAGAACTGTGTATCAATAAAGGCCGGCAGAAAGAGGCCGTCTCCCGGCAGTGAAAGGAGCAATAAGGAAAGGATAAACCTGAAACACCTGCGTCCTCTATCAGAGCGCCTGGGTTCAATTCTCTGTTGCAGCTCCTGACTCCAGCTTCCTGCTGACCCTGGGAGGCAGCGGTTAACGGCTTAAGTGCCTGGGTTCCGGGGTGGGTCCACGTCCAGGTCTCCCGTGGGGGAGACTTGTTGGATTGAGTTGCCAGCCCCTGCTTTGGCACCAGAGCCACTGCTGCAAGCATTTGGGGAGTGAACCAGCAGAAGGGAGCTATTTCTCCATTTCTGTCTCTCCCTGTCACCTTCTCTCTTCCTTCAGATAAACAAAACATTTTTGAAGTTTAAAAATAAATATCAAATGTCCCTCCGTGAAAATAAGGCCCAAAGAAGTTAGGGACAAGTCCAAGGCCCAAAACAGTGAATCTGCAGCCCCGGCCCCTTGTTCTCCAGGGAATGCTCTGCACATCTCTCCCGAGCAGGAGCAGGGCTTGAAGGCGCCCAGTGCTTCCTGCCCCAGGGGCACTTACATCGGAGAGGACGTGTCCAGGCGAGGACGTGTCCAGGCGAGGACGTGTCCACCCGATGCGAACCACCTGCATTTGGGCAGGAGCCTCCCCGAGGCTTGCTGACTGGGCTCCCGAGGCTATTGCGGGAGACCCACGACAGCCTGTTCAGGAGTCAGGTGTAATTATCTCCGACTTCTTGTTTTCCCCAAGCCCTTGGACATCCTCCCAGCATTTCCACCAGCACTTACAGAGTGCCTGTTATGCACTGGGTACTGAAAGACGAACGGATTTGGTCCTTCAGGCTAATGGAGGCACTGTCCTCGTGTGTGGCAGCAGGCGAGCTGTGGCCCAGCTGCGTAAGCGCCACAACCGGAATCTGAACATGTGCTGGGGGGAGGGCCTAAGAATGCCTCCTCCCTCCCGGGCTGGGGTCTGAGAAGGTGTTACTAGGAGCATCTGGGGTCAGGGTCTCGCGAGATCAGGACTATCTGACCTGGAGGCCACAGTGAGAAGAGGCCTTGGAGCAGATGAAACACAAGCAGATGCAGGGAGCTAGGGAAGGGCCTGGCACCGGTCGTGGCGGAGTCTGAGGCACTCAGTGTGGCTGGAGCCTGAAGTAGGGAGACTGGCTGGAGAGACAGGCCAGGGCCCGCCGTGTGTGTAACACCAGGGCATTCAGATGCCATCGGGCTACAAACACCGAGACCAAACCCAAAGCACGACAAGGAAGACCAAGAGTTTTCAAATAGTACAGTGACATGATCTCCTTTATTTACTTGGAAGGTAAGAAAAACATGTTAGACTGGGTGGTAGGAAGGACACATCCAGGGAGGTCACCATTCCAAGCCCAGGTGAGAGTCAAGGGGCTGAACCCACGGAGGGCCAGGGTGGTGGGGAGGGACACGTGGATGTGAGACCTTTCCAAGAAAGCACTGACGGGAAGAGGGGTCAAGTAAGAGCGCACAGATGACAATTCCGGACAGCTGTAGCTGGAGAAACTGGACGAGTAAGACTGAAAATACAGGAGGTTGACCAGGCTTTACCAAGAAATTAAAAATCGAGTACAATTAAGAATATAGGCAGGCTGGCACTGTGGCAGAGTAGGCAAAGCCTCAACCTGGGGTGCCGGCATCCCATATGGGTGCTGATTTGAGTCCTGGCTGCTCCTCTTCCAATCTAGCTCCCTGCTGTGGCCTGGAAAAAGCAGCGGCAGATGGCCCAAGTGCTTGGGCCCCTGCACCCACGTGGGAGATCTGGAAGAAGCTCCTGGCTTTGGATCAGCCCAGCTCTGGCTATTTTGGCCATCTGGGAGTGAACCAGTAGACAGAAGACCTCTTTCCCTCCCTCCCCCCACCCTCCTCCAGCTCTGCCTTTCAAATAAATAAATAAATAAATCTTTAAAAAAACAGAAAAGCAAAGAGAACCCAGAATTAGCACGATGTCTCTTCACCTATATCAATGAATTGGAACAGATCCAGCCACCTTGTTCCTTCTGTAAATGCTGACTAAATGACCCGAATACTCAACGGCCAGTCTTGGTGTGTCTCATGTGGCCATGTCACATGAATATGACTCCTAAACAGGGGATGCCAGGCGGGCGAGTGCCCTATAAGTGCGGCTGCTAGGAGAAGGGCTGCAACCCTCCAGGCTCCCCGACAGAGCTGAGAGCAGAGGCTGGGAGTCTGCCATCACAATCCTGCCCCGGATACCCCCAACGGCCTGGGCTTATACACTGAGCCAGGTATCTGCACTTCACTCTCCACTAATCACAGACGTACTTCCCTTGAAACACCTTCTTAAAGTATTTATTAAGGAGGAGAGGGAGAGGGAGGGCTCCCATCTGCTAGTTCACGCCGCAGGTGCCGGTGCTGGAGCTCAAGCTGGAACTTCGGACACTATCCAGGTCTCCCATGTGAACTGCAGGGACCCAGTTATTTTAACCACCACTGCTTCTTCCCAGGTCTGCATCAGCAGGAAGCTGGAGTCAGACGCAGGCCTGGGGACTGAACCAAGAACTCTGATGTGGAATGTAAGTGTCTGAACAACAAGGCTAAATGCCTGCCCCCATTTTTTAAAATTCTAATTTAACTTCTATTAAATGAATAATCATGAGGTCTCTAACACATATTTTAGTATTTTTAAAAAAGATTTATTTATTTATTTGAAAGTCAGAGTTACAGAGAGAGAAGGAGAGACAGAGAGAGAGAAATCTTCTCACAGCTGGTTCACTCCCCAAATGGCTACAATGACTGTGGCCGTGCCAGGCTGAAGCCAGGATCCAGGAGCTGCTTTTGGGTCTCCCTGTGGGTGCAGGGGCCCAAGTACTTGGGCCATCTTCTGCTGCTTTCCCAGGTGCATTAGCAGGGATCTGGATTGGAAGTGGAGCAGCTGCATGCTGAACTGGCGCCCATACGGGCTGTAGCACTGCAGGCAGCAGCTACAGCTGCTGTACCTCAGCGCTGGCCCTTATCTTTTAGTTTAACAAAGTTTTTCAGTTTTTTTTTCACCTGATTTAGAGAACAGTATACATACATTATAGAAAGTTTTTAAAACAAAAGCACTAGGGGCCGGTGCCACGGCTCACTAGGCTAATCCTCCGCCTGCGGCGCCGGCACCCTGGGTTCTAGTCCCAGTATGGGCACCGGTTCTGTCCCAGTTGCTCCTCTTCCAGTCTAGCTCTCTGCTGTGGCCTGGGAGTGCAGTGGAGGACGGCTCAAGTGCTTGGGCCCCTGCACCTGCATGGGAGACTGGGAGGAAGCACCTGGCTCCTGGCTTCGGATTGGCCGAGCTCTGGCTATTGCAGCCATTTGGGGAGTGAACCAGCAGATGGAAGACCTTTCTCTTTGTTTCTCCCTCTCACTGTCTATAACTCTACATCTCAAATAAATAAATAAAATCTTTTAAAATAAGAGCACTAAGAAAAAAATCATCTATAATATTACTATTGTCTAGATGTAATCACTGCTGTTTTGTCATACATTCTTTGTGTTAATCTACATACATGTACATTTTAGAAACAAAATGACAATGATATAGATTACTTGTAAACTATTTTTTTAAAGATTACTTATTTATTTATTTGAGAGGTAGAATTATACACATAGAAAGGTCTTCCATCTGTTGCTTCCAAATGGCTGTAACCACCAGGAGCCAGGAGCTTCTTTAGGGTCTCCCATGTGGGTACAGGGGCCCAAGGACTTGGGCCATCTTCTACTGCTTTCCCAGGCCATAGCAGAGAGCTTGATAGGAAGAGGAGCAGCTGGGACAAGAACTGGCGCCCATATGGGATGCCGGAGCTGCTGCAGGCAAAGGCTTAGCTTATAGATAGAAGATGTCTCTCTCTCTGTCACTCTGTCTTTTAAACACATAAACCTCTGAAAAAAGTACATGTAGCTTTGAGGGACATTTATATTACATAATTTTATTTACTGGATTGCACGTGCATTAATTTCTACTGGATCAGAAGCAGAGTAGCCAAGTTTGAACCAAGACCTCCAACATGGGATGTGGACATCCCAAGAGGTGGCTTAACTTGCTGTACCATAATTGCCTGTTCCATGCATGTATTTTGAAATGTGTCATTTTGATATCATGTAGTTATATAAAGTATTTAAAAACATTATGCTAAGTGAAAGAGAGCAACCTTAAAAAAAGACCATATATTCTATGATTCCATTCTTATGAAATGTCCAGACTCAGCAAATTCAGAGCTGGAAAGTAGGTTAGTGGTTGCCTAGGACTGGGGCGAGATGGGGTGACTGGGGTGACTACTAATGGTTATGGGTTTCTTTGGGGGTTGATAAAGATGTTTGAAAAGTGATTATGGGGATGACTGCATAACTCAGAGAACATATTAAATTTACTGAATTTTATATACACTTAAATGAGTGAATTGTATGGCATGTGCATTATAACAATAATGTAACAAAAGCAGACTGAGTACTCTATGCAAACAGTGTGTAGTAAATGCCCATGCCAAATGTTCCTGCCTTCATTTTAACACAACAGAGGACTAAGTGCACCTGGCTATTCACTGCAGGCAAGAAGTACAAGAGTTACTGGTAAGTGAAGCAATGCCAGCTCCTCACCAGTGACAAAAGGCCCCTGGGGCAGGCTGGCCTGGGCACTGCCCCACAAAGGACCCGCTTCTACCACACTTTCTCAGGGAAGCCACACCTAGGGTGCTGTGTTCCATTCCAGACACCTCATTACCAGAAACATGGAGACAAACTGGAGTCAGTTCAAAGAAAAATGGCAGGCATGACTAAGAAGCTGAAAGGATCATTTTATGAGGCAGGATTCGAAGAACTAAACATGGAGGCCTGCACTAAGTAAGAACTAAGGGAAGGGAATGTGATTATTACCTGCAAATGTCAGGGGGGTGTAAACAAGAAGAGGGAAGAGTGATTTAGCACCGGAGGAGGAAGTGTAACTAGAAGCGATGGAATTAGATTAAGGGAAAAAACCCAGAGGTAAGACTACAAGGCTATGCTTTTTCCAAGGTGTAATGAATGGTTTGCCTGGGGAAAGGTGTTTAAAAGGAGGGCACAGATCAAAAGAATTAAAAAGTTTAGAAAAGGAAGTGTTCCTTCGTTAGCTTGAGCTGCTTTTCATCTGGTAGGCCTCTCTGTTCTCAGGGGTTATGGATGGTTCGAATTGTATCTGAAAGTACTACATGTGGGCATGGCTATGTGGGGAGAGATTTCATTGGCACTCGATCACATGCTAAAATTTCTTGGCTTGGGAAAAAAATCTCAAAAATCAACCTCTCTTGTGAAATTGGAATTACTTTTAAAATGAGGACTTTTATTTTGCTGGCCTTGAAATACAAAGCTTTGGTCACTCTTAAGTTAAAGGAGTATAGGAATGTGTTGTTAAAACTTTTAGATCTTTTAGGAAAGAGAGGCAATGTGAAAGAACCAAACTAAAAAACTTAGACAGATGTATTAAGAGGCACAGGTGTGAAAACAAATCTTGAAGTGGATTAGTACCTCATTATTTTAAAATTTTTCTTTAGCATGCAAAGGAAGTTTTTGTGTGGTTCTGGAACGCAGTGGGGTCCTATGGATGATCTGGGAAGGTGTATTCTAGCTTCTGAAGCTTACTAGGTCTCGCTCAGGCATTCTCCCACCCATATTCCCTCCCATACCTGTCTTCTCACCGCCCCCCAGAGAAAAGTTCTTTCATGCTTAATACCAGAAAATAATTTCCCAAAGAGTACAAACATGGAATATGTGGGACTTAATGAAAATGACTACCTGGGGCTGGTGCTGTGGCGCAGCAGGTGAGGCTGCCGCCTGCAGTCTGGCATCTCATATGGGTGCCAGTTTGAGGCCTGGCTGCTTCACTTCTGATCCGGCTCTCTGCTGTGGCCTGGGAAAGCAGTAGAGCAGTAGGTCCTTGGGCCCCTGCACCTGCATGGGAGACCCAGAGGAAGTTCCTGGCTCCTGGCTTCAGATCAGCGCAGCTCTGGCTGTTGCGACCAATTGGGGAGTGAACCAGTGAATGGAAGACCTCTCTCTCTCTCTCTCTCTGCCTCTCCTTCTCTCTCTGTGTAACTCTGACTTTCAAATAAATAAATAAATAAATAAATAAATAAAACTTAAAAAAAAAAAGAAAATGACTACCTCCCAGTTATAATGAATTAATTCCTTCTCTCTCCCTCTTTCCTTTCCTTGTTAAAGCTACAAATCCAAACTTAGTGTATGTAAAATTGAAGAACCCAACAGGATTGTCCATTTCCTATTCTCCACTTTCTATTATGAGGGTACCTGTAAGTTTGTTGTGGGGGGGAATGGTATTAACAGAATAAAATAAATAGGAAACGATAATTTTCATTTCTCAATATAAAGCCTATCGGTTCAAGACACACCTGTAACTGACAGCACCAAGCTATTTAGTCCATTCCTTAAAAAACTGAGGGTCCTGGAAATTTAACCATATGAATGCTGTCTCTTTTACCTCATTAACTATGGAAAAATGGGTGCCTTTTAAACATATTTTAAGATTAGGAAAGAAGTCAGAAGGAGTCAAATAAGGGCTACAGGATGTCTAATGACTTCCTATCCAAACTCTCACAAAACTGCCCTTGTTTGATGATGGAAGGAACACTGCCCTGCTGGGGAAGGGCTCCCTGGCGACATGCTTTTCTGCTGAAGCTGGAACTAACGTTTTGAGAACACCCTTAGAGTAAGTAGATGTCACTGTTCTTTGTCCCTACAGAAAGTCCACAAGCAAAATGTCTTGGGCATCACAAAAACTGTAGCCATGACCTCTGCTCTTGACTGGTCCACTTTTGCTTTGACTGGACCGCTTCCAACTCTTGGTAGCCACTGCTTTGGTTGTGCTTTGTCTTCAAGATTGTGCTGCTAAAGTCATTTTCCATTCCCTGTTATAATTCTTTGAAGAAATGCTTCAGAGTCTTGATCGTACATGCTGAAAACTTCCACTGAGAGTTCTGCCTTTTTTTTTTTTTTTGACAGGCAGAGTTAGACAGTGAGAAAGAGAGACAGAGAGAGAGTTATAGACAGTGAGAGACAGACAGAGAGAAAGGTCTTCCTTCCATTGGTTCACTCCCCTAATGGTCACCACGGCCGGCGCTGCACCAATCCGAAGCCAGGAGGAGGGTGCTTCCTCTCAGTCTCCCATGCGGGTGCAGGGACTCAAGCACTTGGGCCATCCTCTACTGCCTTCCCGGGCCACAGCAGAGAGCTGGACTGGAAGAGGAGCAACCGGGACTAGTACCCAGCAGCCCAATTGGGACTAGAACCCGGGTGCCAGTGCCACAGGTGGAGGATTATCCAAGTAAGCCATGGCACTGGCCAAGTTCTGCTTTTTTTTGAAGAACAAAATGGGGCCAATGTTCAGTGCAATGGTTAGGATGCCACCTTGGATGCATCCCATACAGAAGTGCCTGGGTTTGAGTTCTGGCTCTGATCCCAGTTCTAGCTTCCTGTTAATGTGTGCCCTGAGAGGCAACAGGTGACAGCTCAAGTATTTGGGTCCCTGTCACCTAGGCAGGAGACCTGGATTGAGTTTTTGGCCCCTGACTTTGGCCTGGCCCAGTCCCTGCTGTCATGGGCATTTGGGAAGTAAATCAGTGGATCAGAGATCTCTTGTCTGTCAGTCCCTGTCTCGCTGCCTTCCAAACAAAGAAACAAATGATATGAGAACATTGTCATCTTGAAGAACAGTGTTACTATACAACCATGGTCATTACATACATAAAAACAGACACAGAAATCAATGGAACACAAAAGAATACAGAAAAAAAAAAAAAAAAAAACTCTGTACATACAGAGAGTATTTCAAAAAGTTCATGGAAAATAGAATTAAAAAAAATAAGCTGACTTTGGTACAAAAACATGAAATTCACACATGGGTTTTTAAATTATGAATTATTTTAAAATTCCATTTCCTATGAGTTTCTTGAAATCTCCTTATATGGCCATATGACTCATGATAAAGATGGCAAGACTGTGGAGAATGGATGGTATTTCTTATAGTGGGGCTACATGAAAAATATTTTGATCCTTCACTCACACCATATGCATAATCAATTTCTGATGAAAAGTATATATATAAATGTGAACAGCAAAAACAAGAAAGCATTTAAAGAAAACATATAAGGCGGCCGGCGCCGCAGCTCACTAGGCTAATCCTCTGCCTTGCGGCGCCGGCACACCGGGTTCTAGTCCCAGTCGGGGCGCCGGATTCTGTCCCGGTTGCCCCTCTTCCAGGCCAGCTCTCTGCTGTGGCCAGGGAGTGCAGTGGAGGATGGCCCAAGTACTTGGGCCCTGCACCCCATGGGAGACCAGGAGAAGCACCTGGCTCCTGCCATCGGATCAGCGCGGTGTGCTGGCCGCAGTGCGCCGGCCATGGCGGCCGTTGGGGGGGTGAACCAACGGCAAAGGAAGACCTTTCTCTCTGTCTCTCTCTCTCACTGTCCACTCTGCCTGTCAAAAAAACCAAAACCAAAAACAAAAACAAAAACAAAGAAAACATATAAGGCAATCTTTAGAGAACACCAAGATTTATTATATAGAGCACAAAATGCACTAACTGTGAAGAGAAAAAAAGTCAATAATGCGGACCCATATTAAAATTAAGAATTTCTTTCTCATAAAAGACCCTAATAAGAGAATGAATAAGAGAGTGAAAAGGCAGCCTGACATGGGAGAAGATATTTGTAATGCATATGTCTGACAAAAGATTTACTTAGAACTCTTTCAAATCAGCAGCAGTTAGGACAACTAAAACAACTTGCAATTTCAAAAAGATGGACAAGAAAAAAATTAAAAATTAAAAAAATTAAAAATGGGCAAGAGACTTGAATAGATACACTGTAAAAGAGTATACTGAAATATTAATATATGTAAACATGTGCAACCTCACTAGTCATCAGGAAAATACAGTCTAAAATCACAATGACAGACTAATTATCTGCCAGAATGGTTCAACAATACAAAGGGACAGCAAGGACGCGTAATCACTTCACCTTTCACATCCCCCTGGTTGGGAGTGTAAATTGGTACAACCACTTTGGAAAACTATTTGGTGGCATCTACTAAAGTTGAACGTATGAATATTCTATGACTAAATAATTTGGGTTTTTAAGTATGTGAATTCATTGAAGACATGGACAAGAGTATTCATGGCAGCACTGTATGCAATAGCCCAAACCTGGGAACAGTGCAAATGTACATCAATAACTGAATGATAAATAAACTGTGTTACTGTCACACAATGGACTACCATTCAGCAATGAAAATAAAGTAACTATACATACAACAAATTAGATACACTTCATAAACATGATGTTGAATGAAAAGAACCCAGACACAAAATAGTGTGAAAGATTCCAGTTATATAAAATTTTAAAATAGGCAAAATATGGAGCCAACTTTATGGCACAGTAAATTAAGCTACTATTTGCAATGCCAACATCCTGTATCAGAGCACTAGTTCAAGTCCTGGCCACTCTGCTTCCAATTCACCTTCCTGCTGATGTGCCTGGGAAGGCAGCAGAGGATGGTCCAAGTGCTTGGGTCTCTGTCACCCATATGGGAGACCAGGATGGAGTTCTTGGATCCTAGCTTTGGTATGGCCCAAATCTGGCTGTTGTGGTCATCTGGGGAGAGTGAACTAGTGGATGGAAGATTTCTCTCTGTCTCTCCCCCAACCTCTGTCTTTCAAATAAATAAACAGATTTTTTTTAAAAGAGGCAAAGTTAACCTGTAGAGCTAGAAGTCAAGTCACCTTGGAGGGTGGGACAGCGACTGGAAATAGGCATGACAAAGGGCTGAAATGTGTTGCTTTTTTTTTTTTTAAAGTAAATGTGCATTTAATTTAATTTGAGAGAGAGAAAGAGAGAGAGAGAGAGAGGGAGAGAGAGAGAGAGAGGGAGAGAGAGAGAGGTGTCTTCCACCCACTGGTTCACTCCCCAGATAGCCACAATGGCTGGAGCTGTGCTGATCTGAAGCCAGGAGCCAGGAGCTTCTTCCGGGTCTCCCATGCAGGTGCAGGGACCCAAGGACTTGGGCCATCTTCTATTACTTTCTCAGGCCATAGCAGAAAGCTGGATCAGAAGTGGAGCAGCCAGGACTCGAACTGGCGCCCATATGAGATGCTGGCACTGTAGGCAGTGGCTTTACCTGCTACATCACAGTGCTGGACCCATGTATTGCTTCTTCTTCTTCTTCTTTTTTTTTTTTTTTTTTGATAGACAGAGTTAGACAGTGAGAGAGAGAGAGACACACAGAGAAAAAGGTCTTCCTTTTCCGTTGGTTCACCCCCCAAAATGGCTGCTATGGCCGGCGCACTGCGGCCAGTGCACTATGCCAATCCAAAGCCAGGAGCCAGGTGCTACTTCCTCCTGGGGTGCAGGGTGCAGGGGCCCAAGCACTTGGGCCATCCTCCACTGCCCTCCCGGGCCACAGCAGAGAGCTGGCCTGGAAGAGGGGCAACCGGGACAGAATCCAGTGCCCTAACGCCACAACCTGGACTAGAACCTGGGGTGCCGGCGCCGCAGGTGGAGGATTAGCCTAGTGAGCCGCGGCGCCGGCCCATGTATTGCTTCTTGTTCTAGGTATGTGCTGTGTCTGAGTGTGTAAAACTCACTGAGCTGTATACTTACAATGTGTGTACACACCTGTATGCATGTTATTTTCAAAACTTAAAACCCTCTCTCCCCGCTGCATTACCTAACTGCACGCTGTGATAATCTCTCCTCATGTCTGAGGTAGGTAACACCCTCCTCTAAACTCTCTTCTCACGCCCCGCAGCTGTCATTCCCCTGGCTCCTTCTCTGCTCCTGTGCTAGGCCTCTCCTTTCTGCTCACTCTCGCACATCCTGGGAGCTCCTGAAGCTGAGGGCGACTCTGTACTGTTCCTCCTAATGTCCTCTGTCTGGGCAACCTGCGTGCCTTTCCAAGGGGTAGGTAATGACAGCAGCAACTAACGCACTGGACATTTACTGCAGGCCAATTATTATTCTATGTATTTTAGTGCAGTAATCCATTTAATCTACTTTCTTTCCAATTTGCTTACTCCTTTTGAGGCATGTTTTTATTCTCTAAAGGAAAAAATAAAACTAGAGATTGTTATTTAGCCTAATAGTTAAGCTGCCCATGTCCCATATTAGAGTACGTGGGTTTGAGGCCTGGCTCTGGCTCCCAATCCCAGCTTCCTATTGGTGCAGACTCTGGGAGCCAGCAGTGTTGGCTTAAGTAATGACATTCCCATCACCCATGCAGGAGCTCTGGATTGAGTTCCCAATTCCCAGTCTCTGGTTCACCGGCAAGTGAACCAGAGGATGAGAGTGCCCTCTTTGCCTTTCTCAAAATAAAAACAAGAACAAACAAACAAAACCCAACCTATACAAAAGAGAATAAAAACCAACCTTTTATTGCAGAAAATCTCCAATGTATATAAAAGAAAGCAGTACAATAACTATTATGTGTCCATCATCTAAGTTTAGCCATTATGATTCATTCAGATTCATATTTTTCAGGTACCTGAAAATTTCATTGCAAGTATTTCACTTATACATCAAATGATACCGTTTATACTATTTAATAAACAGTTCTTTTCACTTAATAATTACTACCAACAGTTTTTCATGTGATCAAATATTTTCTAAAACACAGTTTTTACGTACTATACTGTAATCCAGTTTATGGATGCATCATAATGTCACTAATTCCATTAGAATTTTAGTTGGTTTTCAAATTTTTACTACTATGAGGATTAGTGTGACTCTCCTGCACAAAAATCTTTGTATTTTGATTGTTTTCTTAAAATTCTTGAGTCAAAGGGTATATACCACCCCCTTTAGAACTTCTACATGGGGATCGTCTTCCAACGTGGCCGAAGACAACTCTTCAAACAAGAAACTATCAAAAAATCATAGGTGCAGTTGCACAACATTCACAGAAGAGCAACTGAAAATCCTCATCAATGCCTTCACCAAAAACCATACCTGGCTGTGCTACCAACAAAAACTTGCTTCAGAAATCAAGACTGAAGAGTCAAGAATCCAGGTTTGGCTTCAGAATCGAAGAGCATGGCATGTATTCCAGAAAAGACCTGAACTTAAGCAAGCTTTGGGATCAAGCCAAGGCCATGGAGAAGACTGTCCTCAAGAACAGATTCTAAACCCCCTCTCCCTAGATCCTCCTACTGTAGAAAGAGAATCCAGACGGTGTTGTACCAACTGTAGCTCCTCTCAATTGCACACCCTCACCAAGGCATTTATGAACAACCCTTACCCAGGAATTGATTCCAGAGAACAACTTGCCAAAGAAACTGGGGTTCCTGAGTCAAGAATCCAAATTTGGTTTCAGAATTGGGAGAGATAGATTTCATATTCAGAGAAAAAGAAAATCAAATGAGCCCTTAGAATAAGACCAGGGAGAAGAACACTGAGCTTGCTTTAAGGTATGGAAGGTACATGAAATGGTACCCCTTCACTAGCAACTGTCTTCTCTGTAGCTAGAACATTGTAGACATAGAGACAAATTCAATATATTTTATATAAACAACCTGAGCCCTACATTTCTCTCACAGTCTTTCAAGAAATCTACCTTTTCACTGAGAGTTCAAAGATAAACCTTCAAGAAATGGTAAACAGGACTTCAGGAAGTAAATACAAGAGAAACCACAGAGCCTGACTGACCCATCTTGGTTTCAAAATTCATAAGACATTGAGACAATAAAAGCGAATCTAATAGGACCCAGTGTTGTGGTGCCACTGCCTGCTACACCAGTATTCCATGAGAGCACTGGTTCAAGTCCCAGCTGCTCCTCTTCAGATCCAGGTCCCTGCTAATGGGCCTGAGAAAGTAGCAGAGGATGGCCCAAGTGGTTGGGCCCTTGCCATCCATACGGGAGACCTGGATGGAGTTTCAGGGTCCTGGCTCCTGGCTTCAGCCTGGCCCAGTTCATTTGGGGAGTGAACCAGCAGATGGAGGATCTCTATTTCTCTCTGTCTCTACCTCTCTAACTCTTTCTAATAAGTAAATCTTTTTTTAAAAAGAGAATAAATAATCATTTAAAAAAAAAAAACAACTTCTGCATGTGAACAAACCATTGTAGAATGGTTGTACTAACCTGCAGTCATAAGCACGAGGGAAGGGGGCCCACTGCCCCACCCTTTCAATATACTGGAGACACAAATAAACCCCGATCTTCCCAGCACATCAGGGCTGTTTTTATGTGCATTCTTTACAGTTATTTTCATTTGTAGTCAAGCCAAAAATTGAGGCAAAACTTTTAAAAATATACTTACTGGTCACACTTATTTTCCTGTAAATTTCCTGTTAATGCCCTTTCTAGATTATGTTCCTTTTGAGTTAGTTTCTTCATTTTTGATTTCCTGGTCACAACCCTAATACACACTTTCATATCCTGGTACCTATTTGCTTATTGCAATAGCATCACAACCACCTCAACCCTAGTGTCCTTAATCTAAAACAGGCTGGAATAGGTCCCTCCCCTGCCAATACTGTATATGTTTTCCTACCTACAGAATAAAGTTCAAACTTTTGGGCATGGTAGCCAGTGCTCCAGTTTCATTTCCTGATAGCACTTGACATTTGCTGTATTAGCTTTTCCTTTGATGTGGTTCTCCCTCCTAGAATGTGGTGAGTGCTTCCTCCTACACATCTTTCTTATCCATCACTCTCAGCCTTCATGGTTGAGCTCAATTGCTCCTTTTCTCTGAGGCCTTCCTTGGTCAGAGGTGAAAACTGTTACAATATTCATTTTGTTTCCTGTTTGAGAATTGGTTATGTTGAATTCCCCAGCTGTTGTGCAAACTCCTGGATGATTCCTTCTTGTACACTAACAACACCTAGCAAAATACCTGCACTCACAGATAATTTAAAACTGGTGAACACAACAAAGGAATAGATACTAATACTGTAGAAAAGTCTTAAAGCCTTTCTGAAGAGCTTTTTAGGATCAACTCTGAAGCATCATCAGATAAAACTGTCTGAAGATACAAGCCTTTAGTAGATGACAGGACAAACTATACCCACTTTGTTTAAGGTTCTCAAAAGATGGAATACGGGACAAACCTAGGATATGAAGGTGGCCCCAGGCAGGAACTTTCTGGATTTTGTCTGCTGAATGTTATTGTAATGTCTTCTGTTCTTAGTAGCTGTTCCAGCCCTCCTTGAACTCCAAGTAGTAATGTAATTTCTAGAGGAACCTGAGCCAAGAATCACAAATGCAACAGCAATTCAATCTGGATGCTTGAGGCAACCCACATGGGAAATGTGTGCAGCAGGCAGAGGAAGTTCAGGAGAACAACTGAGGCATCTCAGAGAGGGGGTTCTACCACCTTACACCAAGCGAAAGCGCTGGTATGAGGGCAGGCTAGAGAGGAAAGTACCTCCCCCCTTCCTGCTGTCGGCGCTAGGATAACCACCAAGGAATGATGCCGGCGCGGTGCAGGACGGCGAGGAACAGCAGCCAGCACAGGGGAGGAATGCAGGAACGGCAGAGGGGACACCTGCTGCTCCGCCCCATTCACGGCTTTAGAACAGCGACCATATCTCTCCGTGGCCACTCAAGGGTATTCGGGAGAGCTCCTGAACTCTATGAAGTCAGAAATTCTCCAAACAGAGAAAACAACTCAGAACTCTGTAGACCTGGCCCAATTTCAAAGCAAACAGTTCTCTATACATAGTCACAAAGGACGAGGTGAAAGACAGGGTGCATTGATGAGTGTAACCAAGGGATGGTTACAAGACAGGTCACTGAAAAAATTCAGTGATGGTTGGCAGTGACTCAGACGAATTCCTTTCTGCAGATGTTTTGGTGGTGGGCAAGAACTTTGACAGAGACGCCTAGCTTGGTTTAAGCAGAGAAGGCTCTTACCATGAGGCTTTCACAGCCACTTCCAAGAGGCACAGGCCACGGGGTCTGACTAACAACTGCAAGATGAATGGAGCCTTCTGGAAGTGAGGTGGAAATGGGCCCCTCCGGGCCAGGTCTGGTCCAGGGCCCCTTCGCCCAGTTTAGCAGACTACTTAGGATAGGAAGACATGAAATAACTTCCTTGTTTGGATTTTCAAAGTTTGGATTTTCAAAGACCTGGAGAAAAGGGAAAGGCATATTGCCACACTCTCTGTTGAACAGAGCGTTAACATTTACCTGGTTAGAGGGACCTGAGAGCATGGTGGATATTACTTGCAGGCATTCAATTTTTACTTTGCAGAATCTGGCACTTAGTAGCAGGGAAAACTAAAGTTTCTCTTGAAAAATTTGTCCTACGATTATTTTCCATAGATTAAAACTCACTCCAGAGTCCTCTTTCCTTGATATTTCAAGTCTGAGCTTGCTGTTTGAATCCCACAGCTTTCTTTCCAAGGTCTCCACCTACCCCCCCACCCCAGAGGCCTGCAGTGCCGAGCCTCAAGCGAGTGCCACCAGGGCCCCAGGCTCTGCGCAAGGCCTGCTGGACGCCCGGCGACCCCGTGCATATGCTGGCCTGCCTTCTCCCCTCTCCCTTGCTTTGATGAACTTCTTGCCAGGCAGTGTCTGAATTTGTTTTTATAGGAAGGCAAGGCTGTTGCTGCTCAGGCCAAAACTAAATAAGATGTTACTACTCTCCCATGACTAACCTTGAAAAAAAAATGACATAATAAAAATAAGACTTTAGCTCCAATTGGGCCTGTGTATCAAATCAGAGTCCCACTTGTAATCCTTCAGGAATCCCATGGTGACAACAGGGAACATTTCCTTCAGGACAGAAGCATCAAGGTGGGAGGGAACCCCAATTACTTTAAGCCTGGAAGCACAAAAATCACAAAGCTGCTTTTTGGTATTATTAACAGCATGGTGTACCTGGCACCTGAATGGGCTCACTGAATATGAAATACAACACTAGCCTTACAGCTAAGGTAGCTTGACTTTTCGATGTTATTTTTCTTTTTTTAAGATTTATTTATTTATTTGAAAGAATTATTTATCTCTCAGAATTAGAGAGAATTGCTGGTTCACTCCTCAAATGGCCTCAACACCCAGGGTGGCCAGGAGCCAGGAGCTTCCTCTGGGTCTCCGAAGCAGGTGCAGGGGTCCAAGCACTTGGGCCATCTTCCACTGCTTTCCCAGGTAGGGAGCTGACCTGGAAGTGGAGCGGCTGGGACTAGAACTGGTTCCCATATGAGATGCCAGTGCTGCAGATGGCGGGTTAACTCGCTGCACTACAGCACCAGCCCCTCAATGTTATTTTTCAGTCATATCTTTTTCCTGTTAGTTTTTAAAGGTTAAAAACAGGACAGCCATAGTGGCAGCAGGTCCTCCTGTGACTCTGCATGGCTCAGGCACTTTGGTTCCTGACATGATACGGGAGACCTAGATGGAGTTCCAGGTTCCTGGCTTTGGCCTGGCCACTGTGGCCACATTGGCAGTGAACCAGTGGATGGAAGACCTCTCTGTCTGTTTCTTCCTTTCTCTGTCACTGTCAAATAAATAAATAGTGTTTAAAAAGAAAAGAAACAAGGGGCTGGCATTGTGATATAGTGGGTAAAGTCACCACCTGCAACACCAGCTTCCCACTGGGCACTGGTTTGAGTCCCAGCTCCCTGCTAGTGAGCCTGCGAAAACTGCAGAAGATGGCTCAAGTACTTGGGCTCCTGCACTCACATGGGAGACCAGGGGGAGGCTCCCGGCTCCTGTCTTCGGCCTGGTCCAGCTCTGACCTTTGCGGCCATTTGGGGAGTGAACCAACAGATGGAAGATCTCCCCAGAGATGGAAAGATCTCCTTGTTTCTGTCTCTCTCTCTCTCTGCCTCTCCCTCTAACTCTGCCTTTCTAATACATAAATAAAATCTTAAAAAAATAGAAAAAAAATGAATAAAGAAGTTACAAAACTAAATTTAAAATGCAATTCAAAAAAAAAAAAAAGGTTAAAAACAAAAGGGCCTGCCTTGTGGAACAGTAGGTTAAGCCCCCACTTGTGAACCAGCATCCCAAATCAGAGTACCAGTTTGCGTCTCAGCTACTCTGCTCCTGGTGTAGCTCCCTGCTAATACACTGGAAAGCAGGGGGAAGATGGCCCAAGGATCTGGGTTCCTGTCACGCATGTGGAAGACCAGGATGGAGTTCTTGGCTCCTGGGTATCACAGCCATTTGGAGAATGAATTAGTGGATGGTAGAAAAGACCCTGTTCTTGCTCCCTGTTGCTCTGCCTTATAAAAAAACAAACAAAACAACACAAAAACAAATCAAGAGTTTCTCTGCTCCCCAGCAATGGCACTTAACACTCTACAACTGATACTGGTCACTGCCTAGCTCTGAAGGAAGTAAAACAATTATGACTTCCAGGAAATCTATAGAAACACAAAGCTGA